CCGAGTCTTTCGGCTTTGTGCAATAAGCTTGATTTGCGGCTGACAAATCGGAGTTAACCGAGTCTTTCGGTCAAAATGCTAAACTTACACCGTCTTCTGAGCATCGGTGAAATTATTTCTGTATTAACTTCTGTATAACACAAATGAAACTCTATAACTCTGAGAATAATCCAACATTCATGTATTTGATATCTGGTTATACTTTAATTATGCTGCAAGTTCTTTGCTTTAAGTTCTCACGTTAGCTGACTGAGCTGTGGACCCTCCGCCGCCTTCGATCGAGACTTCACACAACTGTTTCTCTTTTGACGGATTTTGATCACCTTTTAAACTCAAAACTAGCTTTAATTGTTAGAAAGATGCTATACACACTTACCGTTGGACTTGGAAACGCTTCTCGACGCTTTTCAGGGACGCTTAACTCGAAATCTCGACAAGGACAAAGCTTGTATCAAAGATGCCGATCCCAATAGTACTCGCGCGCGTTTTTGCTGGCCGCCCATGACCATTTGCGGGAAAAACGTTGATACCTTGCGGCCGTGCAAACTCTCAAATCGAGTTTTTTTTCTGGTTATGATCTACCGAAAATACCTACATTCTCTCTTCTCCAGTCTTCCTCTATATTACGCAGGGAGTCCTAAGGTGCCTCCTCGGGTTTTTGGCCCCAGAGGGCCAAAAAACCCTGCGGGGGCAATTATGGGGCTACGCTCTGCGAGCTCCGCTATTAATTATGTAGATCTTTGGCAGTTGATTGACAACCCCCCCCCCCCCCATCAGCAAATCTGCTGACAGCGGGTTATTTTACTCTTAAATTTTGTAATGAAGTAAATAAAGGGTGAAGTGTGATTATCGTTGAGAGTTACTAAAGCAGAGGTTTCGAGTGTTAGCCCTTCGTTAGAGCGACAGACTGACGCTTAAAACATCAGCTTTAGAAACATTTGTTTACTGTATCAACTCAGTTGATAAAACCAGATTTACTAAGAGCAGCTGCAGCGAAAGTCTTACTTCACAAGAGGATAAACAAAACTCGATTGCACTGAATTACATTAAATTGTTCCTTGCGATAAACACTTTTTCCTATTACTTCCACAGCCATTGAAAGTTTGATGGGGTCCCCACTTCCCATGAAGTACATTTATTGGGTCATCACAGCAATCATTTTTAGCCTCACACTTGTATCAGTATATATATTCAGTCCACTAGTGAGCAGGTACGTTTGTTAAAGGAATCCTCAATTTTATGGGAGAAACTCTGACTTCACTTACACCAAAGTGCTAAAGTCCATTTTGAAATATTTTGTTATTTTGCCTCTGTGTACAATTAAAATGGTATGGTATGATTTAGAAAATGTTGCTTTTCTCAGCGTAAATCAAAGTATTTGCACGTGGTTTCAAAGCATAATGGTTGAACCAAACAACATTTCAAGATTTACATTTGTGTATAAGTACCACTCTGTAAGAGTACTTCAGAGGAAAAAAAATCTAAATCCCTAATTTTCAAGAGCTATGATAATTTCGCAAAGCCTTTATTTGGAATACAATTAGCTATTCCTTCTACATTTTCATCGTCAATCGCTCTGATCAGTGCACGAATCGTAGTTCTCGACTGTTGAAACCCAAAAATTGGGAGAAAACGTAACTTCTATGTTGCAGCACAAAATATTCCTGGCAACGTATAGTTAATATTTTTAGTCTAGCAACATTCACGTTAAGTTGACATTTTTATTATAGTATTTTTATCAGTTAAACCCTTATTTAACCACGCTGTGTTTTCCGCAATACACAATCTAAGAACTTAATGAAACTGTAACCTTTTTCTCTCTTTAGATTTGAATTACATCCTCTTAAAGAAAAAACAAACAACGAGGCGGCTGAAAAGTGTGCCTGTGAGAACAAAATAAAGGAGAGAGAGGATTCTTGGGCAAATGCCACAACAACTGAATCAACCTGGCTGAGACAAAACTTTGCAAAGGAGTTACATGAAATCCACTTACAACTGAAAAAACTACTCTTTTATAAACGTATGCCCTCGCCAGAACTTGTTGAGAAAGTTGGGGAACTTGCAAAACGGCTTGACGGAAAAGCAGAACCGGCAAACCCGAATAGTGGCATTAACAACACTAGTTTGGATGTGTGTCCAGAGGAATTCAAAGGAGGAAATTTTGGTTACCCTTACTTTTCCAAAGGTTGGGTCCTCGCCGATTGTACCGAAGCCAAACCACTTAGCTCCGTGATTAGTGTTGTAATAAATACTGTCACATATCCCCAAGAAGATGAAAAACACATCGAAAATGTATTCAAAGGTATCAATGATACCTATCCTTCTGTCCACGTTTATGTAGCAACGCAGAGTGATGATATCGTGGAAACTGCCAAAAGGTTTAAAAACATTGATGCGGTTAAGGTCAATGATACAAAAGTAGCAAAGGTATGGAACACACTCAAAACTAAAGCTTCAACTCCTTACATGCTGATTGCACGTGATGTGGTTCACTTCTCATGGCTCACTCAAGTAGAGAGACAAATTCGAGTGATCAGTCAGATACCAAATGTAAAAGTTGCAGGGGGAGCGTATCGGAATATTTCAGGTCAATGGAAAGCAGGATGTGAACAAACCAAGCTACTTAACTATGTACTAGAATATCAAGAAGGCTATTATCACTCACAAAATTCGTGTATGTTTTGTGATTATCTGCAGGGTCCTTTTGTAACTAAAACAGAATTGTTTCAACTTGACGAAAGTCTTCCAAATGAAGTAGTTTTTGAAGACTGGTTCTTACGCATAGGTAAAGATGGCAACCAGGCAATGGCATGCCCAGATGCAATGTATTTTACTTCAGATCACACTTCGCTTTCCAAGAACACTAAAAAAGATGTCTGGACACCTTTGGCAAAAAAGTGGACCCTTAATCGAATATTGTTACCCCAGGGGGTCAAATATTCATTCTCTTGTAAGGATATTGAAGTGACATGCCAGGCCACTAGCGAATTACTCCCAATTTGTTGTCTGGAAGAGTACGCAAAGGTAATGGCACTCCTCCAGAAGTTAAGTAATGAGCGCAAAATTTTATTTGAACTTGATCATGGCTCTTTGTTGGGTGGAGTTAAGTTCAATGGTCTTCTTCCTTATGATATCGATGGAGATATTACATTGGTGACCAAACAAATTGACATATTCAGCAAAGACGAGATAAAGGAACTTTTTCGGAGCAATGGTTTCTCCATTTACGGATACCAATCACCACATTTGGACAAGGGAAAATTGATTCATGGCTTCACCTACATAGGTTTCAATGGATTTAAAATAGAAGTGTGGGGAATGCAGAATCTTACGAATTTTCTACATGCCCCTTTGGAGCTACGAAACCTTGCATCGTTTACGAAAGCAAATCTTAGAGGCAACTGGGTTAATACAGCATGTAGTCCTGGTTTGTTTGCGAGAAATCGATATGGGAGCGAAATACTTAAACATTCCCAGTCTTGGAGAAAACAAGGACTCAAAGATAGTTGGCAGGATTACAACGCTGGTAGCTTCAAGCCGTGTAGAAAACCAAAGCATCACTCTTGCGTGGAGAATATGCCTGCTGATGGGAACATCCCTTTCCTCGTAGACTAGAGACAACAGGAATTACTGAAACAGGAACAACGAGGCATTTGGAACTATGTAGGATACACTTCCTTTTTTAGATGCGCCCATTCATGGTTTAAATTAAACACCTATTTACTAATTTTCTCTTCTTTATCATCGGCACTGCTTTTTCTTTTTTTGGATGAATATTTAAATTTACGAACGAAAAGATATTACCCGTGTGTGTTTTTTTAGTTTGCCGAGTATGAGAACGCAATCAGTTCGAGTCGTTGTTCATGGGTATATTGTTGTAGTCGTTGTCACAAAAGAATACAAACATTTAATGCACACATGCGAGTCACTTTGCTGTGGTTTTTGTCTGCCTATTGTGGCCAGCCCCTATGACTTTCAGAGTGGCGCAAACAGTTTTTATTGTTCAAGCTTCAAGCTTATTGTTCAAGCCATTAACTAGCCCGGTAATACTTTTACGGTGGAGAGAGGATTTCAGCACCAGCACTAAACCTTTTAACTTTAATGAGCTCACGACAAGAGTATGGTCTCTTAGCCGTGGATGACCTCTGTAACGCGTTTTTCCTGTTTGTGATAGCTATCGCAGCTTACGAAACAAAGCAATGACCTGACAAATATCAGAGTGATTCCTTAGACCGACGTCCCAGTGGCTCGCTTCATTTGCACTTCCCATGCTCTCTCCCCTCAGGCACATGTGATTTCCGTTCGCCTCGCCTCATTACGAAACACTAAAGATTAATGTATAGAACGTAGTCTTACATATATATATATACCTCTATGCATATATAATAGGCTTCGCATCCAGACCCCCAACCGCTTACAGCATATCACAGTACATGCATATGAAAATACCTTATTGAACCTCCGCAAATGTGTTGCATATGAACAATGAAAATCCCAAAACGTAGATATCTAACAATACTGAAGTATTGATTATCCAACATTCCACCATTTTAGTCAAAATGATAAACCGTCTGCCATTTCATTGCTTTCAGGGTCTTAATATGTAGAAAAAGAAACAAGTGATTGTGCGTTGACAGAGCTCCCCTTCTAATATAAAGAGCAGTAGTCTGTATCGCTCCTCGCCGTTGCTGAAGTAAGTCGAGTGGAAGTTTCTTGAAAGGGCACGCATGTCACTAGGCGCAAGTATGTCACCACAAACTCGCGCTATTGGTTCGTGAGCGCTTGCCTTGCAGGTTACTTTGGCACTGAGATTTTTACTGCAACTTGCAACACTGAAGCTGCTTGCAAGCTGAGCATGCAAATGGTAACCCCTGCTCAAATCTGGGCCGGAATTCGTCACGAATAGTTAAAAAGGCTGAGTAACGAAGAGTTCAGCCATACCCTTTACGAACGCTAAGGGGTTGGGGTCTAGAGTGGTTTTCAGGTTTTTTCATTCACATATAATAAACATGGCGGCTGTGGTTGGTGTATATTTAGGGAATACCAGCGCATCATTAGCTATCCACAAGGTGAGAATTTCCTGTCTTGAAGATGTTTAAATGTTTAATGGAGCCTTTGAGCTAATTTCTATGTTATTCATCCAAGGCTGGAAGGACGGATATTATAGCGAATGATGCAGGGGACAGAGTCACTCCAGCTCTCGTCGCGTATTCTGGAAAAGACAAGGTTGGTATTGCTACCCTGAAAAAACAGTATCCCATTAAGATTAAGAAACAGAGAAACGAGTGATTCGAGAGGGAAGTGATTTTCGCTAACCATTTCTGTCTGTGTTTGTCATGATTCCCGTTTATTAGATAGATTATTCCATCTTTGCTAGTTAAATTGAAATAAGGAACAGGTCAAAAATAGGGATGCGAGAAAGGCTTGCTCGCAACCTGAGGCTCTGATGGTTTCAGTGAGGCTGCCAGAGTGAGCTGCAAGGTTTCAAGAAAAATATTTCAGCAAGTGTGGTTCCTTTCTCGCTACAGCTTAAAGGAAATTTGTCACCACTTTTGGGTGACCGAGAAAATCCCAATAACCACAATACAACCAATAGTAAGCTATCCTGTTTGTTCCCAGTCAAATTTTACACTTCATTGTAGAGATAAGTAGTCAAGTTTCCTTTACCTTGCACCCTTCTTTTAGACCTATAGAAATGTCAGTGTAATTCAGAATATTTACACCTGTCCAATTCTCATCTATGAGAAAACAAAAAGTACTCTTGTTATTCACACATAAGCCCTCCTTGATGTAAATCCTAATCTCAATTTCCATTTCATTCCTGCCATTACAGAGAGTATGAAAGTATTTTTGTTATCTCAGAAAGATTCATATGATTGCCAGTTAAGAGCCTAGAGGAGATGCTTTAGTTTAGTTTAGTTTGCATCATTTTTGAGACATATGAGATGATATTCAGTTCAGTGAATCAAGAAACATGTATTTGTTTGTCAAGAAGGAGGAGTGTACTACAATGAGAGTAAACCAAGAATACTCGTTTTTGACCCCCCACAGTGATACCATGAGTTCACTTAAAACTACAGTACAACCCCTCTAACTCAAGCTCCCAAAATTGAGCAAAGGGAAAGTAAAAACAAATTTGAGCTAAGGGGGAATTAGTTCAAGTTAACCTAGTTTGAGTTAGCTGATCGTAAACAACTGATAAAATGGGGTCATTAATCCATGGGAAATTGCATTCTGTTCAAGTTCAAGTTAGTAGGATTCTGTTGTATATATAGTTAGGGCTTTCCTGTGAAACTAAGATTTTTTGGTACATTTCCTATAGTACACTAATTTATCAAGGATATTTTTAGCTTAAACAAATGGAGTGAGGAGACTCAGATGATATCCACTCTTAGCCATCATGCTGAATTGATACTTTCTTGGAATTTCCTTACGTTAGAATTCTGGTGATATTTATACCTCATAATGTGAGATTTTATCTTCTAGGCAATTGGTCTTCCAGCTAAGCAAGGGCTTATTCGCAATTCAAAGAATACCATGGCAAGAGCATGCAAAATAATTGGATTGAGGTGAGAATCTCATTGTTCTCCCTTATTTTGAGCACAATAGTCGCAGGTTTAAGAATAAACTAGTAGAGTAATCCTTTTATCTGTTAAATTCTCAATGCAGTGATAAGAGGTACCACAAGTGAAGACAGCCAGAATCAGATGTGGTGTGAGAAATAACCTCAATATTTTCATTCAATTTCATAGTATGTGTTTATGGGGGGCAGCTCTCTGGTAGAAGGGAACAAGATTTTGTACAGCATAATAATATTTATTTTCAGGAAGAGAAAACATAATGTAAAAATTGCATTTTCACATGAAGTGGTTTCAAAAACAAGTGAATCACTGAATTTTTAAGGAAATTCCTTAGTCATGTGCATTTTATGATTACAGACTGCTATAATTATTATTAGTATAGCATGATCATGTATAGTTTTGAATGAATATTTGATGACTACAACTCCAGGTTTTCTGATGATACAGTTCATCAAGAGGTTCAAGATTCTGGTTGTAAGGTAAATAACTGAAAAATTAAACAGAGACTCTCCTCCAATAAACATCTCCTATGGAGTGATGCCTCATCTGAGAACACACTAAGATGTGGTTAAATGTAGGAACATATAAACCTTTCATTTAAGACCTGTGAATGCTTCCTAGGCATAGGGTATCCACTTGTTTGAGGCCTGACTGTATTCAAATTTCAGTTCATTTCATTTGTAATTGATAGAAATTTGAAATATTTTCAATTTTGTATACTGCATGGGTGAACATTGTAGTTCCTGAAAATGTGCAATAGTTGAGGAGATTGTGATCTTTGAGGCTTTCAGCAAGTGGGTTTGTCTTGAAATCCAGAATATGGTGTTTTCCATATAGCTTAAAAAAAAAGACACAGCTGCAACTGAACCAGAATAACCCCAACTACGGAGAAATCTGAGTTGAATTATCTGCTAGCAGACTGCTGGTGTTACAACTTGATTCCATACAAGGGTTTTCAGTAAACATCTTTTGATGTAAGTTGCTCTGTAGTGGAATTTTCAAAATGAGAGTTGAGATAATTCTGTTGGAAGTTCTACTACTTTTGAATTTGTCATCAGATTGTTGATAAAGATGGAAAGCCCTTTTATGAAGTCCAGCTGAATGAAAAACCCACTCTGTTTTCTCCTAAAGAAGTTATCAAGATGATTTTTGAGAAACTTTTAGGTAGGTCACAGTTGTTGATGATAAAATCAGTTGATGTTCAAACTCGACACACAATCATACTGAATATACTACAGTAGTATCATAAACTTATAATGAAGGCACAAGTCCTAGCTCAATATTATGAAATATAAATTGATCAATGGGCAAAGTGCTTTAGATGTAAATGCCTTGACGTGAAATCCTGTGTACATTAGTTATAATTTTGTCATTTTTCTCACAAGAATTGATTATCCTTGGTTGGCCTTATCTCCTTACTTGAGTGGGGACTTTAACTTCATATTGAAGTGTTTGATCACTTTTATTGCATGTCTGTGACAATTTGAGTTTAGAGACTTTTTATTTGCACAGAAATTTCTCAGGCTAATGGTGGAAATGACATTGAAGAAGCTGTTATCACTGCACCTTTACACTTTAGCAATGAACAGAAAACAGAGATCAGGTGAATTAATCAACTCTTAATTTCAAGATCCAAGATAGAAGTTCTAAAATTGTATGGCATTAGATGACGTGCACATATTCACATCCACTGAAATTGTTTAGATTTTATGCTGTGCTTGTACAACTTTAAATGTATAATGTAAACTGCAGCTTATAGGCCCCCCTCCTCCCTCCCCCCTTACTTATAAGCTCCCAACCACCTCTCCTGGCTATTGGCCCATATACCTGTAAACAAAAGATACATCTGATCATAACTGCACCCCCTACCCCCATATATAACACCCCCCTTTTCAAGCTTTTCCTTCAAACAGAACCTTTAAAAAAATTTTGTAGAACAATTAATATATTACTTCTTTTTAATAGTCAACTCTTGTGTAAATTAACTAAAACTTTATTATAAAACACCTTTAAAGTAATTTTTCAATGCTTTACTGCTAGTATTGCTTCAACTTAATGCAATCCCAAAAAACCTTAGTGAAAGCTAACATGTAAAGGGTGGGAAGTGTTGACGTGAGCTGCTCCTGAAAAAGCCATCCAGTCTTGCTGCACTCACATTACTTTGTTGCAAAACTTGATGGAAAACAGAAATGAGAAAAAAGGAGCATGTTTCAAAAAATAGGGAGTTTCTTGTTCTAACTTCCAAAAAAAGAGTTTTAATTGCAGAATTTTTGGGGGGATTTTGTTGCTGCATGTACCTGAAATTTTCAACATCTAGTGGTCATATGAAAAAATGCTTATTGACTCAGTTTGGTTGGGTGAGACAGGAAAATATTTGGATCTTGGTTATGAAGCACAGACCAAGTACAGTGAAGTCCATCTGTCATGACCTGGAGCAAAATATTTTCTTGTCTGGCCCTCCCACTCAATCAATAGGGGCATATAATGACATTTTGAATCTTAATTTAAAAAAACAGTAGATGTATCATGATCAGCACTGCTGTAGCTCATTTCAAAGCACTTTTTTTATTCAGGATATAGGTCCCCTTGGATTTAAGGCCCTCAGTTTATAAGCCCTCCTAAAACCCCTTATGAGGTTGTATCAGTCAGGGCGTATAAGCAGCAGTTTATTGCAGTTTGTTACATGTGGTATTGAACCAGTTGTATGACATTTTTTTTTTAGAGAGGCTGCAGAAGATGCTGGCTTTGATGTGCTTCGTGTTATAAGTCAACCAGCGGCAGCAGCACTGGCCTATGGTAAAGTGAACAGGAATTTTTTTTCAGTGATCATGGGTCAAATGACATTCACTGCCCAGCAGTGGTGTTCTACTATTAGTGGAAGAATGCTTAATGTGCTCTGTCCTTATAAATCTCAATTCAGGGTAAGAAAACTGTTGAAAGCTTAGTGGTGTTAGGGTACTTGTTCACCCATGAGTAATTACTGATATGTAGCTTCCCTCCCCTCCTCAATGGAATGCAAATTTATTGTGGGTATCTCTAAGCATTTTTTGGTGGGTTTAGATGTACCTTTTACAGAAACTAGCAATAGTGATTTTGGATATTATATTTTAATAATTAGAAGTGATATTTTATTCTGTAAGTTGACTGTAAAAGCCATTTCAATCAATAAGTTACTTACGAAATGAAAAGTTCTCATTTTTTATCAAGGCTTTTCATTTACTGAGTTGTCATTTTTATAGCTATCTTTTAAAAATAACAATTTATAAACTTTAGCTTTTACTCTCCCTTAACAGACATTGGACAAAATGATCGCACCTCATTAAGGTATGATGATGTTTATCAAATATGACAGCTGTAGAAGGGTCTGTTTTCTTTTAAAAATGCTAGTCAGATGTATTATCACAGGGTGTTTTTTTTTATTATGTTCTCTGTTTTATCAGATACATGTGGGAGTGGGGATATGGTGTATATAAAAAAAGACCAAACATAAACATAATAGGTTCACTTGGAAACTCTTTTGAAAAAAGCAAACTTTTGATTTTCCTTCTTTTTGATAGTAAATGCCTTTTCAATTTTTTACTGTCACAGTAGTATCTAAAATATCTTAAGAGTGAGGTAGCTGAAAGCAAGTATAATTTCATTACTGTGAATTGATCTGTATTTTCAAAAATTGACATAGATGCCTATTTTAATAGTAACTTAAATAAAAACTTTGGCAAGATGGCATTATTTTCAATCCATAAATTGATTTTCTGATGTAAAGCTTTAATTTGTAAAATCATTGTTCAGATTTGTGCACTGCTTTATATCACCAGGAGGGTACTTGTTTATAGACTTGGAGGAACTACTCTTGATGTCACTGTTTTGGTTGTCAATGGTGGAATGTACAGAGTGATAGCAACAGAAAGTGACACAGCCTTGGGTGGAAGAAAATTTGATGAGTTACTTGCACATCATCTTGCTGCAGAGTTTCAAAGGTTTCTGTTCTTTTTGCTCATAGAAAATAGTGGCTTAGGTTTGCAAAGATAATTTGAACCGATTGCAAATGTTTTGATTCACAGCAAGTTGATTCATACTAGATTTGCCAGCTGCCATACTACCTATTTTGTGCTCAGAAAATTGTAATTCATGTTTTTTTATTTTATTGCAGACAGTGGAAACTAGATGTCAGAAGCAATACCAGAGCAATGGCCAAACTAAGGGCCAGTGCAGAGAACTGTAAACATATTCTGTCATCCAGGGATACAGCAACTTGTGCCATCGAGTCACTCTGTGAAGGGATTGACATGAACACCAAAGTATCCAGGTATTGAAAAGTGACGCATAGTCATTTTGTCTTTGTAAGACAAAGGGCCAGTTGTCCAATAAGGTGGTTTATACTTATCCACGATTAAAGTTACAACTTGGTTTAATTTTTCATTTGTTAAGCATAAATTGGAGCTAGTCTTTGATGGAGTTTACTCTTATTGTTAGACGAAATTAAAGGAAATAGAATATCAGTTTAAGAGCTGTGTCGAAAATTAAAAAAAAATGGATCATTAACCGTGTTTTCTCCTAAATTTCCCCGTTGAACATCACCTAAAACAGAGCTCCAAGCTCCACTTTTCCAAAGTTTCCTTTTTACAACAGAAAATTCATAATCCTAAAGCTAAATACTTAGACAGCAAAGAAGAAAAAGGCAAAATTTGGCTTCCTAAGCTGGAAATTTGATCGCCAATTTTTTTTCCTATTTGTTATACTGACAAAATAGTTCTCAGCTTGGAGCTCTGTAGTAAAACTGCAGTACATCAACTTTTTTATTTGTTTCCTTACAGAGCTCGGTTTGAATCCCTCTGTTGGAGTTTATTCCAACAAAGTCTTTCCTCCATCGACCGAGTTCTTTCCACAGCAAATATCAGTAGAAACAACATAGATCAGGTATGATTACTGGCAAATTTTGAAGTACCATGATAATTTCAACTCTTTTTTATTTCAAATATTCCTCGTCATCGTTGGGTAATTGCTTAGAACTTCTTCCTGAAAAACTGTAGGCCTACAGAAATGTTGTCGTTAAATTGCGGTAGCTACTCATTTCAGAAGTGATTCAACGTATGCAGTTTACTTAAGTTCAACATTTAGCGGATATTTACAGTTCAGTCGAAGTTTTGTTTTGGACCTTAATTCTCGATATGTCGCCAATTGGTAGCCTGTCGGTAGCCTGTCGGCGGCCTGTCAGTAGCCTGTCGGTGACCTTTTGGCCATCGGTCGGCTGACAGGTTTTTTTCAGGGAGCTGTTCTTCATGATCACCAATTTTTAATGTGAGAGTCCTCCCCACTACTCGGCCTCTGGACTCAAGTCTCAATAGTGCGGTGGTTTCTATTTGATTGTGAAAGAACGAATTCAGCATGATAATGTACTTTCTTGACCCCTGAAAAGGTAACTTATTAATTTTCTTTTACAGGTTGTTTTGGTAGGTGGCTCCACACGTATTCCTAAAATCAAGCAGCTTGTTCAAGAGTATTTTGCAGAAAAAGAAGTTTGTCAGACAATTGATCCAGACAGTGTGTTGGCATATGGTGCTGCTATACAGGTAATAAAATCTGACCCAATGTAGTGTAATCCCCTTCACCAAAGAGATTGTAATTATCTTCTCTTTTTTTGGTGACTTTTAAAGGCGTCGTTACTTCAAGGAAGAGAAGAACAGATAAATGATGATATAGAGGCGGAATGCACGTCAAAGGCTATTAGTGTGATGGTAAGTAGAGCAGTTGGCTTGGCTTCCACAGGCAGCAAAACGATCATGATAATAGTCAGCAGGCGGCATACCAGTTGCCTGCAAAATACAGTGAAGATGATGCAGCAGACTCTTGACCCTGACCCTGGATTTTATAAACCCGATGTTTCACAGATTTAGCATCGTGGTTCTGAGGAAATTCGAGACTAGTTGACCCAAATGCTGAATTTCTTTCGCTGTGCTTTGAATTTGCGTTGTGCGATATGCGCTTAATGCCGTGAGACTGTTGCAATCTGCCACTCAGCTATTCTTGTGTTGTGATTTCCATTCATCATTTCCTCTATTTGTGTGATCCTTAACATTTTCGCGTGATTTTTTTTACAGCTCGAAGAGGCAGAGGCCCGTCTGTGTCCAATTATCCCCAAGCACTCTCCCATACCGCTACGAAAAACACACAATTTCACAACCTCTGTGGACAATCAGGTTTGATTTTCTTTTCCTTCCTTACTCTCTTCATATCTGGTCATATGGTTTTTAAAATACTGTTTGGAGACGTTTAAGACCGGTTTTTGTCTTGCACTCCCAGACGTTAATAGCATCAAACCGAAAGGTGTATTAATCCTTTAAATTCCAGACGCGATTAACGTGTAGCTTCTCCCTATAATATATATACATTATCCAGCAATCCAGTAATGAGAATACTCAAACCTTATCAGGTAGAAGTTGTTATCTTGATCTAACACCAAATTCTCATAACTAATTTAGAAGGAAAGGTGTAGCAGCTAGAGGGGAAAATTAACAATCAGATCTTGGGAGTTAAAGGGTTCGGAAAAGTAGTTGAGTAGAAGGCTTTATTCTTAGTTGGTTGAAAGTTCAGTCGGAATCCCTTGCGATGATGCCCTGTTTCTTTCTGTAGGAGACTGTTTGCTTATCTGTATATGAAGAGGATGACGACATGGCTAACAATGCTGGAAAGACTCTTGTAGCTAAGGTGAGTGGATAGCATGCTCCTGGCTAGGTAATTTGGTTTGCTTTAAGTCTTAATCAGGGTGCTATCTGGCAGACGACAACTTGAGGTTTTAACTCAAGAAATCAAATTTAATCACCGTCGCTATTTCGCACTCACTGGTATGGACGCTAGCGAAACTGACACAATTTTCGTTGGTGAGCGGGTACGACTAATAGTAAGAGAAAATAAAGGGGCACAGATGACGAGTAAAGATCCGTTTGCCATCAGGGCCACGATTATTACCTGCAAGGAAGATCATTACCGCTTTGACTTGTCATTTAATTCTCTTAGTGATACTCTGTATTATCAGTTTGCTTGTTAAATAGCTAATCACTTAAAGGAGTAATACAGTCACAGAGAAAATCATTAAAAAAGTCGCTACCTTTGGTAACGAGGAGGTGATCATATGTTGACAATGTTTTTAAAAATTCGCGAGCATGTCATCACTTTGCGAGGCTCATTCGCTACCTTGCCTGTGCCATGTCGTGATTATGTCGCAAATTCGTGACGCCATCGTGACCAACAACAAGTCATGAAAAAAAGCCCTGACCAAGTCGTGAACAAGTGGTGACTAAATGGTGTGTGTGTTGTGATCATGACGTGGTTAAGCGTCGTTGCCATGTCGTAGCCTAGTCGTGTTCATGTAATGACGCATTTGTGATCGCTTTGTGCATTCAAGTTCGTGATCCAATAATGTCAGAAAACGAGTCTTGTAAGTCATGAGACAATGGTAACTAGGTCAGGTCCAAGGCGTGCTCAACACGTATCCAAGGGGTGTCCAACACGTGTTTAAGTCGCAACTGGGTCATGGCAGAGGCATAAGGCAAATCATGATCAAGACTTGGTGCAGTCATCTCTGAGTTGTTTCTTTTGCATATCATATTTTAGCGACATCCCATTGAATCTTACTTGCATTGGCTTTGCCTTACTTCGATCTGTGATTGATATAGAAAAGTCACCATACTCTCTAAGCTAAATAGATGCACGATTCAAACCAATCATGGCGTGATCACTCAAGTTTCCAGCACTTCAGGAAGTTTACTTTTACTTTGAATTTTGATTGGTCCTTGTGATAATTTCCCTTCTTCGGATTGGCCGTTGTACAATGATAATTTTCGTTCTAGTTTTACAAAACGCAGTCGACATGCGTTTTACACCGTTGGCGTAGTATAAATGTAGGCCCTGATTTCCCAGCACCAAAAGCAAAACTCACAACAAATATCGTTCTCTTATTATCGCCACAGGTAGTTCTTGAAGATATACCACCCATGGCAAAAGGGCAAGCAGAAATTATAGGGACCTTTCACATTAGAAGGTGAGGTTTGGTTGCAAGCCAAATGGCGATTTTTTTAATTTTTTTTTCAGTTCAAACCTTCAATTGGCGCTCGTGTGAATTCTGAATATCATCCTTGTTTATTGCCTCGAACAAGACACTCTGAAGTCCTGTTCCTGCTTGGTTCGGGTTTTAGTCAAATGTGGTGCTGTCGGGGTTGGACTACATCATTGTGTTGCATTGGCATGGCATATATCACTTCTGGGCTTTTAGGCCTTCTCTGCTGAGGCTATGGAAAACATTTTAGTTGAGTTTGTTCACAAAACACATTGAAGATACACTTGTCACACCCTTATTTTAGAGTATGATGACTCCCTAACTGATGTTGATGGAACGGCCTCGTCCATTTCTGGAAACCCTGTTCTCTTTCCTAACATCTATAATGTGCAACATGAATGACTCAGGTCATTGTGCAGAGTGCAAGCGAAATAAGAGTCCCTTGGGAGCAATTGTATCAGAGGTCGCTTGCTCTGCGTTCACTCTTAACGGCTCGCATACTGACCTGCGTAATCGTAAAAATCGGCTTTGGACCGAACAGTTTGAAGCATTTGAAGATTGTGGGCAATGGGGTAATACACCTTTTTTCAAGTATTGACCCGCTTTTCCTTGTTCTATTGGCCAAGTTTAGTGGTTAAATATTTGAGGAAAAGTCACAAACAGATGTTTCATGCAAATGTAGTTTGCTACACAGAATTTGTTGTTGTTTATTTATGCGTGAAACATTTTGAGCGTGAACTCTGTCTTTTTCTAAATTTTACAGAGATGGATCGTTGCACATTCATTTGATGGAAAAGACATCTGAGAAGTCTGCTGACATCAATATTGACTGCTGCACTTGATTAGGTCGTACGTGGCGAAATTCAATAAAATCCTACTATCGAGCTAACTTGATTGGAATGTTGTGAAGAACGTGATGGATTTTATGTTATTTTTTAATACTTTGCTTATCTTAATCAGTTACTGCGATAATCTGGTTCTACACATGGCGGGGAATTTTTTCCAGATAAGCCGTTCAACCTGGGGTGAACTATTTTAAAGCATGAACATTGTGCGAGGGTTGCAGAAGATGTTCTCGCTAAATCGAAAAAGAATTTCTCAAAATAAATCCCCGTAAAAACTTGCTGCAAGCAGACCAATGAAAATGTCAGGGCGCGGTTGTTTAGAACCTGAGAACAAAAGGGCAGAGCGAAAAGAAGAGAAACAACAACACTGGTAATAGTTTTTAGAATTCCAGCAAGGAAAAAAATGTTCTAATTTATTTGAATCCTTAGAAAAAAGGATTCTGAGACTCTTTATGGCTTGGTCATTTTTCCAACTAAACCTCGACAAAGATTTGCCAGGGGAGAAAACTTGAACTTGATCTTTGTCATGGCCAAAATTGCGCAGATTTTGACTATTGCGTAAGTGGTTTCGCAAAATTTGACTCGACTCTCTATCTGCGCCATCTTTAATCTTGGCTTGTCAAGTTGTCTTTCTAGTTTCAGGTGCAGAAAAGTACGAGTATTCGTGGTCTTAAATGTGCATACGTATTTTCGTGAAGTTTTACAGTCAAAAATTGAGCATCAGAGTACTTCCAACGTAGCTTAACGTCAATGTTTGTTGAGGACTCAATGGATGATGTTTCTATAGATCACTTTCGAGATCAGTGTTGACGACAAATGGTTGATTTATTACTAGTGATTGTTATCAACGAATACTTAGCGTTATATCAGGTTGTTACCTTGAAATGGCTGGTCCAAGGTCTGTGCAGTTAGATGTAATTTTGTGCGTTTTCTCTTTTACGCGAAGTCAAAAATATAGAGTACTTCGTACACGTTTAAGAGATGGATGCTCTTCGTTTCGCGCAAAAAAATCTTCCTTTCTGGGGCTGGGTTGTGCTCCAAGTGGGTGGCAAAAAAATCGGCACCTCCTGATCCTTTCACTCCCAAGAGTGCTCAAAGAGGAATTTCTCCCAGGTATTGTTTTTGAGATTATTATTATTCATTTATTGAATACTTTTGTAACAAGGATTCTAGCCTTGGTTCATAGCCGAAAAAAACCTGTTAAACTTGATTGAGATGATAACTTGAGTAGCCAAGGAAAATTTCTGCCCAAGCGCCACTCGAAAATATAATGTTCCATCTCCTATTGTAAGTTATACAATGATACTTAACCTGTGAAAGGTACTTGTAAACACGTGTAACGCATTTAAAACGAGTAATAGTCCTCTAGTGAAAGTTTTTAATGGTTAAAAGACAACATAGCACATCGTAAGGTGTAATATCTCTTGCATTTGGTGGTGGTAGTGTGGTCAAAATTATGGCCGAGTAAGTAACTCGTCGGAAATTCAAACAATGCTATGTGACTTTCTATAGAACAGAAATACCTTGCACACAAAAATTTCCTTTTGATAATAGGGGAGTCTTTTTGTAATAACCGAGCCCGATTTCTCTTTCGGGTTTGAAATGTTTTTCGACCTTTAGGAATGTAATTTCTTTGACAGCAAGCCACAACTTATCACAAGTCATTTTACCAAGTTGCAAATTTGCAAAAAAGTTATGGTTTCGATATGTTTAAAATTCAGTTGTAATTTACTTTTTGCTCTGTTTATTTGAAACGACGGCTCAGCTTTCTATTTTACGGACTTGCCGTGATCTAGCCAACTCCCTTTATGATAATATTTAACAAACAGACCGCGGAATGGATTTATGAAGTTTATTAATTTACATTTTAACACATCGTTTAAATAAAACAATTGAAGTCAACCTAGATAAAGGTAACTTAACCAAGCAGAGCGTATTTCCAGCACTAAAAGTGATCTTTTAACAAGATCTCTATCCTCCTCTTCAATCTTTACCGGAAGTAATACATGCTGTCTCACTCTTTCACGTATCGTGACCTTCTCTCGAGACTTAATAACTTTGTTATTTATTTTACTCTTCCGTATTCTTTATGTACATATTGTTTCCTCCAATTTGTTAACCAAGCGCCTCTTACCTTACATAACTTAGCGTTTTTTTGGTGGCTAACTGCACATTTGACAATGCGGCGCGGCTGAAAGGCGCTCTTTTACCATTGATTCTTAAGAAGAGTCTGCTTATGGTTACTATTTCATTTACTTGTTGTGTTAAGTTCGCTACAACCGATATTTACATAGCTTAGGCAAGCAGCTCTAGCGAAATCTAAACTGTAGTTTAAATAGCTTTAGAAACGATTCGCGGAACTCTTTGTTGAAGAAAGAATACAAAATAGGATTCATTGCCGAATTCGTGTATGCCAACACAAGGAATACCCTCCACAGTTGCAGATTGATTCCCACAAGACACTTTTTGCCGCAAAACACAACGATCATCGAGGTTAGAGTCAGCGGCATCCAGCACAGTAGAAAAGTGGACACAATGATAGCGATAGTCTTAGCCGCTTTAATGTTCTTTGAAATGCGTTTCTTCTCTGATGTTATGGCTCCTGAGTCTTCGTTGGAACAGGACAACACCGTTGGAAAACTCGCCTCTTGCTTAGCGATTCGCTTAGCATGTTTTCGAGCAATCGTGTAAATGTTGAAATAAATCACACACATAATCACAGTTGGTAAAATGAAATTAACAGCCGAATTAACCGCTGAGTAATACGGGTCAATGTTGAAGAAACATTGACCGTTCACCACACTGTGCTCGTAATACGGCCAGCAAACCATTCCTACGGTCGTGAATAGTAGGGTGTACAGCCATATTACAGCTATGACCAGCAAGGCTATTTTGGGATTTATCACGGTGCAATATTTCAGCGGCCAGCTAATGGCAAAAAACCTGTCCAAGCTGACCGCCATCAAGTTCAGTATTGAAGTCGGCGCGGCGATGAGGTACATAAACACCCTGAAGTTGCACATGAACTCACCTTTGCTCCACTGATGTTGCGTAAAGTCACCTTCCACGTCGAAAGGCATGGAAAACAATGCAGTCAAGAGATCAGAGATGGCCAAGGAGAAAATGAAGTAGTTGGTTGTCTTTCGAAGGCGTTTGTTAAGTCCAATAGCTAGGCAAACGAGTAAGTTTCCACAGACACTACCAGTGATGACGATGATTATCAGAGAAGCGACGAGAAATCGAAAGAGTTTATCAGAAGGAGGAAAAGTTGTGCCTATCCCAGGGTAAGTTACGTTTGGTGAGCGTGTTGTGTTGTTGTAGTCCATTTTTGACAGCGTCAGGCCTTATGGATCCTATAAACTTCCTTACACACCCAAAGAAAGCTGAACTTGAATTTTTCAGCGTCTTAACCTTTTCGTAATGAGGGCCAGTTGTCTTTTCCGTTTCCCTGGTTCTTGCGACGAGGCTGTTATCAAGTAGTATGGATTACTCTTACTTTATCAGGGTTCTTTTTCGTGATCCTAAATGCCAAGCGTTGATGATCGGTTATCTCTAATTGTTTGCGACGTGTACAAGTCACCTTGTTCCTACAAAGTGACCTTCCGCTAGATTAAGCACGGCTTTTCAAATGAAAATAATATAGCTGTAGTCTGTGTAAACACTCCGCTTGATGGTTTGCGCTCCTTTGGTTTTTAAATTAACTGTTTGACATGTTCATATCAATGTCTTTGATTATGGAGATAGAGTACGTGATGATGAGGCGTCTTGTCACAATGTTTGATTAGTGTCAGAGTCAAAGAGAGCTCACCAGGATGTTCCACACCTAGTGCCGGACTGCAACTAACCTCTTCCGATTTTTGCAGCTCAAGTCGATGCGCTCTTGTGTTTTCGTTGCCGGGTAAAGTTAAGATGTATCAGATCAAAAATGATCTAAAAAGAAAAAAAAATAGAGGAAAAAACAACAAAAATCATTTCATTTTTCTGGGCTTAGTGACGCGCAAGAAACAAATCAGCAGCTACAAACTCAGAATAAATTGATGAGGACAATAAAGCGTTAAACTTGTTTAATCCCTAAGTAAACTTCAAAGAGGTCCCTACGCTGTTTAACAAGTGAAGGTTACTTTATTAAATCATTTTTGCGCCTTTGGATTGAAACCTTTGATCTTCGGATCGAGATTCTCAACATCAAGCGATCATACGAGCCTTTTCGATTTCGTTGTTAAACTTAAACAAAAGCATATAACATAAATAAGCTACAAAAAGATGATAACCCTCTCATTGTTTAATAAATGAGTGTCCCCTTAATTTTCGTGAATAAACTCTTCAACAGCCACTGACGAGTTCTGATAAACTGAAGGGCTTTAAAATAAACCAACTGGAGTCACGCTCTTAGGCTTGGCTAAATCTCGATATTATGCCGTTCTGACTTGGACATGCGAGAGTAGTTAGTCGCACACGCGCAAAGTTGAAGAGATAAGCGCAACATTTTCGTTTGGGATAAATGGTTGCGATCTTTGCTGTTGCTTTGAAACTGCACAAATTTAATGTCAAATAGAATTATCTCCAGTTTATCTGATGATCACATACGATGAACTCTAACCTGACTCACTCTTTAATCGCGCTGAGATGTGTTCAGTTAAACCGGAAAAAGACTCGGAAGATATATTTTTAAACCATTAAACGCACGAAAAGAACGAGTTTGTGGTAAATTCATTAAAAGGGAATTATCAAATTTATCTCAGCCTTCGGATTGGATTTCATAGATTGCGAAAATTTTTCTTTCCTTCAGAGGAATGTCTAAAGTAACAAACAATTACAGATGCTGAACGAAACTGTTGATCTAGGAAACTGCTAAATTATCCCATCCCCAAATCTCTGAAAAGACTGCAAAGACTTTTGCTTTGTTTTGCATTTCAGGGAATGATTTGCGGTTAGTCAGGTAAACTTTGGCTCGGTAAGCATTTACAATTGAACCTTAGAAACTTTTAATCACAGTTTCTGCGTCTTATAATAATAAGCTTATATCATTCAAATTTCTTGATCGCTATTTGTCATACCCTTTCCTTTTGTATACATTCTTCCGCTTTTGCCTTTTTTATAATTAACTTTGTCAAACAAATATTTTGAGGTTTCCTCATTTTTTAGCGTAACTTTTCTTGTCGAAGGAAACGAACAAGATATCGTGATTTTCTCGGCGATTAGCAGATAACAGCCGAGACAGATGAGTTAGAATTGAACATCGGTAATTCTTGATGTGGAGTCAAGTAGTGGCGTCATGTAGTATTAAAATTGTCGAGATAGTTCTGTGTGAGAAAGAGCCTTTGTCGCCGAAGGAGACCAAGAGCTTATCCTCTAACGGTAGCGAAATGACGCTAAGATGTTCGCGTGACCGGCCTTAAACGAAGAGCAGGTACTGTTCTTGCTCAAATAAAGAAATATTTTACCAAACAGATCTAAGTTGTCTCTAAGGTTGGGGCGGGACCGAAGGGGAAGGGGGGTGGTTCTCTCTGACAACATATCAACGATCTTTTAATCGTTCACTTGCAACTCTTCACTACTCTCTTACGACTTTTACCACTGTTACAACTCAAGGTTACCTATATTGAAGGTGATGAAGTCAATTAGAATTTTCTTTGCTGCATTGAACATGTTTGGTTATGCATAGGCAGGTGGTTTTAACTGGTCAGACTGCCTAGATCAAAGAAAGTCCCGAAGTGTTTGTAATCGAAACAAAAATGTAGTTTTCTTTGAAACGATAATGAAAAAAGGTCCTCTGACCAAGAAACAACCGAACAAGGAATAAGGAAACAGTTTTGCCTAAACTTGTGTGAAAAAAGTTAAGTTTAAGGTAGTATAAGTGTACGAATCGGAAATCTTAAGATGAAAAACAGGAAACAAAGGGTTTGAAAAAAGACAAAGTAATGGAAGGAACTAAGTTTTAATGAGATCTGGAAATTATTCAAAATGCAACTCGGAGATATAAAGTGTGAGATTTCCACAGCCTACAATTAACTGAGGTTCTTTATTCCGGGGGTAAGCCGGCTGAAAGCACTCTATGGCATTAAATAAACTAATAAAATCTTTGCCTTCCCTTTTCACAGCTCAATTTGAGAGCAAGACTAATTGGTCCCCAAACTAGCGTTCGTCCAACATTAGTCCCGTCTAATGACCTAGTTGTAATTTATCAGTGGAGAAAGTTTTTGGTCTTATTAAAGAAAGACTCAGCTAACGCCTAATTTTATTATGATGATGATCATATGTATCTCTGACTACAGTATGTGACCATGAATTAAACTGATAAGATGAGTAAGTTAATGAAAGAATACCCAACACCTTTAAACAAACCACTAAATACATGATGAATAACACTAAATGAACCAAAAAAAATACGTTGATGAATAAAACTGTTAACCCAAAATAATCTTACTCTAAATAATTTTTATATATTTTTTAACATTCTTTATTCTTATTATATATGTATATATATAGGTTGATCAAAGTTCTCCACGACATTGATAAGGTCTGGTGAGATGATGAAGGGAAAAAAGAGCAAGAGGTGAGGAAGGCATAAAACGCAGTAGCAATGTTGCGCGATATCATGCTACAGACAAGTGTGCTACAGGAATCGTCGCCGTTGACTTTTTCCTTGTTACTGATGAAATATTTTCTTTCAGCGTAGTAAATTTTAGCCTTAGGGATCGACAGGTA